CCGCCTAACACGCGGAAGGTCCTCAGTTCGATCCTGGGCGGAAACATAACTTTTTTGCATCCCTTTTTTTTGAATATTTCTCCATCTAAATTATGCGGTACCTTTCTTGTATTTCTTTTTCAAACATACATTTTCACATTTTCCTTTTCTATAATTTTTACAAATTCATATTAAAAATCTCTCGGACGATACCTTTTTAGTCGAGTTTTTTTCTTATAAGTATTCGAAGGGGGGGGGGGGTAATATTGCCAATCAACACTGTAAAATGATGACATTTTTTTACTTGTGCCCCTAATCTTTTCGATATTTGATGATAACATATTGATTGTAATTTCAATAAACGTAAAAGTGATTACGTGCCAAACAAGAATAAAATTTCAGGCTCTCTGGTAGTGGTCAGACAAGGACGCCTGACCGTCTCGACTACCTTTAATGGGGACAATTCGGCGTCTTGTGATATTTGGTTCGTATCCATAATCACAGTTTTCGTGGTGTAGTGGTTATCACATCCGCCTAACACGCGGAAGGTCCTCAGTTCGATCCTGGGCGAAAACAATTTTTTTTTTAATTTCAATTTACTCATAATCTCAATCTAAAATTTAAAACGAATTTGAAAATAAATACAATTAATAAAAATTTCTAGAACATTTATAGAAGTCTGCCTTGAATGAAATTTTACCTTTTTTTTTTTCAATATAAATATGTAGAATCTTTTACATCATTTGTATCATTTAGAACTTTCGATAAAACAATTTGCAAGATTTCCATTTTTTCTTTTAGGAACGCGATGTGATCTGTAAAAAAAAAAATATTTTTTTATTAGTTTTATAATTTAATTATTATGAAAATTAATAATTTTTTGTTTAAGTCACCCAACAATAGTGTAATCTTCCTCCAACTTGGACTTTAGGTATTTTTTAATAATGAGTTGATGTATAACAATGTATTCAATGAACTTTTTCTTCTTTCGCAAACAATCTTTCTTACAATTCTAAAATTTAAAAAAAATACCTTTTCAATTTTCTAGACTAAAACCTTAAAACCTTTTAAAAATTTTCATACAAATCGAAAATCAAAAAAATTTTTTTAAAAATTAATTTAGTACTTACTAAAATCATTTTTTACTTTGTAACTCATTAGGAGAAATGCAAGGTTTTGTAATTTCAAATTTTTCAACGAGTTTTTTCCAATCATCATAACTTAATGTTAGACAAAATTGAACATTACTAGATACAGGATTATCATTTGATTTTTTCGACATTGGTTTAGTAAATATTTCATCATTAATAAGACACATTTTCACGCTGCCATCTCGAATTAAAAATGAAAAATGAAATATGTTTTCGATAGTTTTCCAAAAATCCATTGGATCTAATATAAATTTTGCATAATTAATTGGTTTCTTATTATTTTTAATATACTCTTGTATTAGACATTTAAAAATATGTTTATAGACATCACTGGTATCTTCTTGATGAACTGGTTCATAATCATCACTACTTGCCAAAGTAATTTTTTCTGTTTGTTGTTGACTTCTTTTTTGCCTTTCAACTTTTTCTTTTATAACAGAATCAACATTTTCTGTTGCTTTTAATTTTAATGGTCCAAGCATAAAAGTAACAGGTTCAGACTTTTTAAATAATGTGTAAGTAGATGGGGCAATATTATCCCATTTTATTTCACTAAGGCTATCTTCGCTTATTTCTTCAATGTAGTTAAGAACTCCATTAATGTATTTATCTTCATTAAACGATGTTAAATTTGTTACCAATGATGACACATTAGAGTTAATACAATCAGAACCTATATGAAGAATTTTAGCATCTAAAACAACTTCATTCGATAATGTTGAATCTTCAACCATACTACTTGATTCCTTAATAATTTCCTCCACTCTTATCATAATTTTTTCTGGATTTTGATTGCTTTTTTGTATCTCTGTAATTTCTTCCAATAAATCCTCCATTTTTAACATTTGTTGATTTGATATTGATGAAGTCGAAGACTTATTCATTTTGAAAAAATATATTTTTATGAATGTCAAAATTAATGTATCACTAAAAAGAAAACACTTTATTGCAATTATTTCTTTCTAAAATCACAAATAATCACTTAATTACATAAATTTGCCCGTAATCAAATCTTTCCAGTGAGTACTAAATTATCTTAAAAATGAAAATATAAAATTTAACCACTTGTGAGATTTTAATTTAACACAATAAAATAAAAAAAGTAAGAGAAAGTTTGCATCGAAAAGAAATAATCAAATCAAATCTAAAAACTTACACTAAAAAAATTAATTATTATTAATTAATTACACCCATTACTAATTAAAAATTTATTTAAAAAAAAAAAAACGTGACATGTAATAAATCCCATATAAAATGACTATGACTTAAGTTTAACGTATTAATTACCGCCATTTTTTTCTTCTCCCACTTTGTCGTGTCACAATTCCTCCTCAATAAAAAAAAATGGCTATGTAAATCTAACCTTACTTTAACTGAATGTAAAAACATGATCAACAAATTTAATCAAATTTGAAATTTGATTCCTTTTTCAATCGTTAAAATTTGCATCACTCTTTATTTAAACACACTAACAGAATGTATTCGAACCAAAAAAACCAATTCTTATAAATAAATCACTTAAAAATTTAATAAAATATTAATAATAATAATACAAGATTCATAATTGGCTCAATGAAAATTTACAGTTTAAACATAAAAAAATTTACTTTATACATAAATATTTTTTAAAACAATAATAATAATAATTTAATTACAAGAAGAATTAAATATTTAATTCATTTAAAAAGAATTTAAATGCATGATGAAAAATATGTATTGAAATAAAAAAATTTAAACATTCATTACAAAAATTTAATTATTGATAATTAAAAAAAATTTATTATTATTATTATTATTATGTGTTAATAAAAAACTTATTAATTAATTAAAAACAAATAAATAAAAATTTTTTTTTGTATTATTTAATGATAAATTAAACGTTAATTAAAAACAAAAAAAAAGCAAAAATCCAAAAACATAATTGTTAATAATTAAAAAAAAAAAAAAAAGATAATTATAAATAATTAAAGCTTTAATAATTTTCAGGTACAGTGTTAAAAATGATGATGATTAAAAATGGTAACCGTGATTTGTTAATATAAAAAAAAAAAAAAAATTAAAAAATTTTCTTGCTGTTGTTTTCTTTAATGATCTTTAATTGTTTCATGAGCTCCCATTTTTTTCAAACCTGAAACTAAACAAAAAAACAATTTTAATTTTAATTTAACTTATTGATATATTAATTAATATATTATTTACCTGTTATTAATTTCGTTGGACCTGAAGGTTTTGTCAATTTCATTTTTTGTTTTGTTAATTTATTCCCATTGTGAACTCCAATACCTGTACTAACTTGATAATAACCAACAGGAATGGGTATGACGGTTGACGAAACCGGTAAAAGTACTGGGAGGGGAGGGGAAAACAATAAATTTTTAAAAAAACCGCCAAAAAATAATAATAATAATAATAATAATAAAATTATTCCTACGTACCTGGTTCGAGTTTATCATTTTCATTTTTCATATAAATCGTTGGTTTTCCATCCACCCAAAAAATTCCCAATAATAATAAAAATAATAATAATAATAATCCTTTCATTGTGTACGCTTTGTGTACCTAAAATGAGAGAGAGAGAGAGAGAGAGAGAGAGAAAGTATATTTAAATTTAAATTTAAAATTTATTTCCAGGATAAAAAAAAAAAAAAACTTTCTAACAATTACATTCATTTATTATTATTATTATTTACTTTCTCCATAATTTTTTTATCCACGTGTTAAATTTTTTGTTTTGTCCTCAAATGAATTCTTAATGAGAAAAAAAAAAGAAAAACAAAATGGCGGAGCTTTTAAAAGCCAAATAATCAATAATAATAATAATAATAAATTTCCATCAAGGTCTTAATAATGGCACACATACATATATATATATTTAATTAAAATGGCCGAAACCGTGTAAAGAACAAAGAAATAATAATAATAATAAATTTATTTTATCCAGGACAGATCGATTCACAAACCTAATTATTATTATTATTATTATTATTATTATTATTATTATTATTAAAATTTAATTAAAATAATTTGACTTGATTAAGGTTCTTATCAATTATCATCACTCGGAATTAAAAAAAAAAGGGAAAACGAACAAAATAAAATGGGGAAAAAAAAATAATAATAATAATATTACTACGCGTTTTTAATATTTGATGCGATGACACGCACGCGCACACGCACACACAACGTAAATAATAATAATAATAATAATAATTTTAAATAAATAAATAAAATGCTTAAGACTTACCAATTTTATAAGTTTCCTACTATATACTGATTTTAAAAAAAATTTTTTTCCCTTCTTTATTATTATTATTATTATTAATATCAAATAACCTTATCATGAAAGAAGTAAAAAAATAATAATAATAATAAAATTTAATATATTAAATTTGTGGTTAACATTAGTTTAAAAAGAAGTTCGAGGGATTAAAGATGTCGACCATGAGAAGACAATGTCAATGATATGCTAAATACGAGTAAAAAATTTTTTTTTTTTTTTTTAACGCGTGTAGGCATTTATTAAGAAAAAAACCCACGTTAAATAAATATAACGATGAGTATCCATATGTAACTTATTAAATTATTGATAATATTGATGATTATAATCCATTGAAAAAAAAAAAAAAAATTATTTTCCGATATGTTTTTAAAGGATTGTATAAGTCTTTTACCGATTTTTTTTTTTTTTAACGAAGTGAAAGTATCAGGTTGTTGTTGTTATTAAAGGAGGTTCCATACAAAGAATCACATTCATAAAAATTTAATAAATATGAAGGAGGGGAGAAAAAACATTTTTTGGGAAAAACAACATCTCGTATATCAACCCACAATAATTTAAAATAACGGTTTTTTCTTTATTTAAATCAGTAAAATAAATAAATGAGTAAAATTTTAATTCCATTTCAAGAGTTATAAATTGGAATGTAAACGCGTAATTGAATGTGTTTCCGTGGTGTAGTGGTTATCACATCCGCCTAACACGCGGAAGGTCCTCAGTTCGATCCTGGGCGGAAACATAATTTTTTTTTTTTTTTACTTTATTTATTTAAATTTTTGTATATAAGTTAAATGTCTTATTTAAAATATAAATTTTTATTTACCGATTATTTACTTTAAATTTTAGATTGAGATTATGAGTAAATTGAAATTAAAAAAAAAATTGTTTTCGCCCAGGATCGAACTGAGGACCTTCCGCGTGTTAGGCGGATGTGATAACCACTACACCACGAAAACTGTGATTATCGATACGAACCACATATCACAAGACGCCGAATTGTCCCCATTAAAGGTAGTCCAGACGGTCAGGTGTCCTTGTCTGACCACTACCAGAGAGCCTGAAATTTTATTCTTGTTTGGCACGTAATCACTTTTACGTTTATTGAAATTACAATCAATATGTTATCATCAAATATCGAAAAGATTATGGGCAAAAGTAAAAAAATGTCATCATTTTACATTTTTGATTGGCAATATTACCCCCACTTCGAATATTTATAAGAAAAAAACAATCGACTAAAAAGGTATCGTCCGAGAGATTTTTAATTTGAAAAGAAAAGAGGGCCTTGAAAATATATGTCTGAAAAGAAATCCAAGAAAACTACCCCCGCAGTTTAGATGGAGAAATATTTAAAAAAAAGGGGTGCAAAAAAGTTATGTTTCCGCCCAGGATCGAACTGAGGACCTTCCGCGTGTTAGGCGGATGTGATAACCACTACACCACGGAAACCACACTTTTGCCTTGCGCTTATTTAACACCTATTCCTCTGACATTATTTTGCATAAAAAAGACTTTAAAGCCTGAAAAACTGTTTCAATCTCGTTAATAATAATAATAAAAAATTACTCACTGGAACAATTATTGTGATCACATTCCAGGACGATTCGACGGATTCTCATACACATCGTCGTTTCCGTGGTGTAGTGGTCATCACATCCGCTTTACACGCGGAAGGCCCCCGGTTCGATCCCGGGCGGAAACAAATTTTTCGAACCTTTTCCCATAAAATTTACATTTTTTGTTCATCATCGTTGTTTTCTGCTTTTTTTTTTTTAAATGTTTGATATTGTTCATATATTTTATTGTCACTTCTTTATCTTAAATGAAAAAAAATAACAATATATTATTAAATGAATAACATTAGCTTTATACAAAAGTGTACTTTTTTTTTTTTCCCTATTTTATCACTCCCGATTGATTATCACATTTCGATGGACACTCTCTAACTAAATCCTTTTAAAAATTATGATCTTAATAAAATTTTCAATTTTCGTTATGAGAAAAATTGGAAAAAATCAATAAAATGATTCAATATTTTTTTCGTAATTCAATACTTTTTTTGTTATGTGATGCTGTCTTTTGAGAATAAGCCTGATAAGATAAACGTGTATTCACCTGGACAGTTGTTGTTATGATTAATATCGCGGTTTCCGTGGTGTAGTGGTTATCACATCCGCCTAACACGCGGAAGGTCCTCAGTTCGATCCTGGGCGGAAACATAACTTTTTTGCATCCCTTTTTTTTGAATATTTCTCCATCTAAATTATGCGGTACCTTTCTTGTATTTCTTTTTCAAACATACATTTTCACATTTTCCTTTTCTATAATTTTTACAAATTCATATTAAAAATCTCTCGGACGATACCTTTTTAGTCGAGTTTTTTTCTTATAAGTATTCGAAGGGGGGGGGGGGTAATATTGCCAATCAACACTGTAAAATGATGACATTTTTTTACTTGTGCCCCTAATCTTTTCGATATTTGATGATAACATATTGATTGTAATTTCAATAAACGTAAAAGTGATTACGTGCCAAACAAGAATAAAATTTCAGGCTCTCTGGTAGTAGTCAGACAAGGACGCCTGACCGTCTCGACTACCTTTAATGGGGACAATTCGGCGTCTTGTGATATTTGGTTCGTATCGATAATCACAGTTTTCGTGGTGTAGTGGTTATCACATCCGCCTAACACGCGGAAGGTCCTCAGTTCGATCCTGGGCGAAAACAATTTTTTTTTTAATTTCAATTTACTCATAATCTCAATCTAAAATTTAAAACGAATTTGAAAATAAATACAATTAATAAAAATTTCTAGAACATTTATAGAAGTCTGCCTTGAATGAAATTTTACCTTTTTTTTTTTCAATATAAATATGTAGAATCTTTTACATCATTTGTATCATTTAG